GAAAACATAAAATGTCTCATTAATCTTTATACTAATCACATGCTGAGATATTTGGGGTAGGTTAGGCAGAATATATTAAAAATATTTCAACTGTTTCCTTTTACTTTTTAATGTGGCCACTAAAAAACCTTTAATTACATATGGCTCATTACATCTGTATTGGACAGCAGTCTATATAGAGTTCAGTAATGTGAAACATCCAAGAGACCCCAAACACTTGCAGTGATCTGACCAGACTCTCACAAGAATTTTTTCCTTTGGTACAAATCAGGTCTTATGATTTGTTAAGAAGTAATTGTATCCAGTGATGTTTAACTGACACATTTAAACACCAGTTTAATAGTGGTTTAGTAGTGTCAAAGCATAGTTAAGAATTTAAGATGTAAAAGATTTGTAAAAGGGGGAAATAAATCGGCAAAGAAGAAGTCCTGGTAAGAGTCCACATTTCACACCTTGTTTAAGGGCCTCTATTGCTCACAGAAAATCTGCTGAGTCCCGAGGCTTCTTCTAGGAGAGCTCTTTCCCATGTAATGACTCAGAACTCAGAGCTGCCATCACCATGGCAGAGGAAAAGAGAGCTGGCTTTTAAATGCTCCCACAGGACCTATGCTTATAAGGCCTTCAGATTTGTATAAAAATTAATGAGACACTTTATGTTTTCTCATACCAAGTCTTTGAAATCCAGTGTATAAATTTACAGCACATCTCAATTTGGACTCTCCACATTACAAAGGCTCAAATAGCTGCATGGGCTTTCCTGCCTTCACTGCAGGTAAGGAGTCACGAGAGAGCACACCGGTATTTACTGAGTAGAAAATGCTTCTGCCGTAAGACAGCACCAGCTTTGGGTTTCTTGAGGCATTCAAAGTCCAACACAAACATTCTTTCAAATATGCTGGATACAAGAGAGAAACAATCAGGACTTGGTCACTTTACTGAATGCCTCTACCAGTTAACTACTGGAGCCGGGCAGAGGGCATCATCCTTCCTTAATTAAGCCAAAGAATGAATGCTTCCTGAAAGAGGGAATGGAAGGAAGTGGGATCTATTATTTCACCTCAATTTTTTGTATCTTGTGTCTACTTTCCTTCTCAAGTAACACAGTCAGCATGTACACGGAAGTAGATTACTCTTATTTTCTTCCTTTTTAGTGAAAGGAAAGGAATTACACAAACAAGTACGGAAAATGAAAGAGGCTCCTCTTTCCCTATCATGCTGACAAGAAGTTGGATGTAAGCTGCAGCTAATGTGGACAACTTTGCCTGGTTACCTACTGTAATCTTCTTTCCTGCATCTTATGGTCAACATATAAAGAAAGAAATCTAGTTACCTACTTATGTAGCCCTACTGTTCGGTGAGTTTAGGCCACATGTGTGGCTACGTTCAGCTATCTTCTTGGCTTTTTAGAAGACAGAATTATGTTCTACGTGTTGTAATGCTAGTTGTTTTTGAGTTTCTAAGACGTCTACACAAATGCAGAAACAAAATCTGAATTATACTCTAAAAATCAGATCTGGCTGCTAGCAGCTCAGCAGCTCTATCTTCCTGCTGGAATCCTGCTACCACCCTCCCTCCAGGCACACACAACCCTACCCCTTCCACAACACAAACATGAACCACAAAAAAATGTTTTAAGTGTACATCATACATTTATTACCAACAACCCTCTCAACTCCAAAATTGGGCACAGGGATTAAAAATAAAAATTCATTGCACTACTTAGTAAAGCATTACTAGTAACTTTCATAAAAAATGTACAAACTTTGTTAAAAATTTATCAAGCCTTCAAATGATTTGGTTACAGATATTTATAATACGTACATTTAAAACTATGTTAACTGATACAATGGAATATGATTTCAGGAAATGACTCAGCAAATGATTCCAAAAAACACCCCTGTAAGCTTTCATAATCTGAAACAAACAGCAAAATGAGGTAACCAAATGTACCAACAGGGGGGAAAATAGCTTTCTGATGAAGGCCTAAAGATATCTGTGAAAAATATTCTCTTTAAGTGAGTTGGTAGATCTCATTCAAAATACTGTAAGAGGCCCAAATTTAAGAATCTTAATAAATCACGTTTCAGAGAGTGTATAAAATCTAAATATGTGTTCACATTTTCCAGATTTTGCTCAAAAAAAAAGAAAAATTCAGGACAGAAAATCCTAATGAGATCTTGATACCTGGAGGCCTTGACTTGTTTTTTGTTTTGTTCTTTTGGGGCGGGTGGGGGGTGGGGAGAGTTAAAAAAAATTTCAAGATGATTATTCATGCAAAACAAAACGAAACCCCACAGCAGAGTTAAGATGGTAAAGCCAATACTGTTTTAGGAGAAAAGAGGAAGAAGGCAACAAACCAACATCTGCCTGCTACCTGACGCATCGCTCAAGGTGGCAACAGCTGGCACGAATCAACTGTTCCTTCTTCTGGTCGCCACACAGGCGCTCACCGTGGCTGGCGTGAGCTGGTTCAGAGCACATGTACATATGCTCCTAATCCGCACTACCCACCTAATAAGCAAGTCTGTACATATCTCTAAGGGCCCCATGCAGAGAAAGACATTCCCAAAGAGAGATCAGTCACAAGAGTGCGACAATCCAGGATTTTACCAAAATAGACCCTGCTGCCTCCTAAGTTGCCAAATGCCTCTCAAAAATTTGCTGGACAAGGGATTGTATGACAAGAATTCATCGTCAGAGGGAGGGGAGAAAAGGCTACTTTTCCTAGTCATTAGTACAATGTGCCTTGTTAATTAGGTATCTATATAAATTAGAAAAAGTGCTTTACTTGCATGCTTCAATAAAATGAATACTGAGTGTAGTAGTGTTATGTTAGATCTGTACAGATATAAATTTTTTGCAGCTATATAAAAGAGTCTATGTATAAGATGGGCTTTTGCCATTTTCAACATGATTTTTTAATTAAAAAAAAGATTAAACTATACGTGATTTGTAATGTAGCTGATTATTATGCCAATAATTTTGGTCTTTAACACACTTTTTATTCATCAGGAACAGGTGGGGAATGTCCCAATGAGTTAAAAGTAACGTGCACTTTACTACTGTTGAGATGTATTTCTGATGCACTGACAAATACAGGGGCAAACAAAGTGTGCAAAATCCTATTTGTATGACTAGATAGAGGCAACAGTGTCTGGAAAAGGGCAAAATTGTGCTTCTGTGTGAATTGACTTTACTGAACTCTAAGCTGGGATAAGTTTATGGAGACTTCAAGGGAAGGCAAGTAGCATGGCAGTAACAAGTCGTTAACACTGTCTGAGGAGAAAACTGACACAGAGCCAGCTGAGAGCTGAGTGAGGCTGGCGAAGAGTCCTCACAGTCCTGACTGGGATTATGCAGCTTGTGCTACTGCGAACAAAGCAATGACACCAACTGCAGGAAGAGGCAGACAATGCTGAATACAACAGAAGGAGAGGAATCGAAACATTGCTGGAAAAATGTCTTTAAACAATCTAAATGATGCTCAATGAACCTATAAAAAAAAAAACAAAACCCACACAGCTATGTATTTCAGATCGACTAAATGAAGGTCAATTCCTGTTTTACAGCATTATTTTTTATACAAAAATCAAATCTTCATTTATACTGCAAGTATTCTGGACCTGTTATATTAAATTTTTCTCAAACAAAAAAAAATTTTTAAAAGCAATAAAACATCAAAGCACATCAGGTCTAAGAATTCAAGCTGTCACAGCACTTGACCCATCCTGGAAATGAGGGTTTCCAGGAGAAGCACTACTAGACAACTTTCAGAATTGGAGGTTGGCAGGTGAATCAATACGAACAGAAATAGAGTTTTCTTAAAATATTTTAGTTGCCTATGAGAGCTTAACAAAGAACATATCAGAAGTCAAGCTGAATTAGTTAACAAATTTTGTTCTGGTGGAAGTAAAGGAGGTGAGACTTCGTGGGACGAGCGGTATTCTTAGAAATATATTACTCAAATATCTTCAGAATAGACTACAAATCTAAACATTAAAAAAAAAAATCACAGGTGCTTCCTGTAAGAAGCTTACTGGAAATGTAAAGGAAAAAAACAAACCATCAACATTCAAATCACTGATTGAAATGCTAATATTGCTAACTGATGATGTATGATATTGCACCTTCTTTTTGGAAACAGCAAGTTGGAGAGTACAAAATTTTTTCCCACAACAGAATCAAAAAATCAGGTTCATGGAGTGAGAATCTGTTACACTTTTTTTCTTAAGTGACCCACTCGGGACCACCGACGAAGAGAAGGTGACAGCTGCCTGAAGCAAAGGAAGAAGGCTTTTCTCATTCCATTCACTGGGAGGGAAGGGGATGGAGTATTCGATGCTTATCATTGATGCACCCTTAGCAATCAGTGTGCAACAGCAAACACAAGGGAAAAAACCAGTGTACAGTACTAGTGCTGTTTAAATAACACACCAGATTATACATTGCAGCATAATTAAAACTACACACACATTCTTGGTACATGCTGGTAGATAGGATCTCAGACACACGTTAGCGACCATGCCCTCACACAAGTAGTTGCGCACACTCTCTCTCTCACACAGATACATTTATCACCAACAGTCACACGCTGCATTCATTTCCACTCACAGTTTCTGAAGGCTCTATATAAGGTAGATTGCTATATCATCTGGAGCTACCACTTTTTATAAAAGCACATGCTAAAAGATCACGTCCACTGTAATCTTGCAGCAACACTCGGAATGATCACACAAAACCCAGGGAATGTTAGTGCACACACAAAATTAAGCTAAAGAAAAAGTCTTTGGAGTTCCAATCACACGGTTAGTATAACAATCCCATAATTGTGAAGACTAATTGTAAGCTTTTATAGTTGATTAAGTCACACAGTGCAAAGAAAGGTCCATTGACCCTTTTGGTAAAGGGAGGGCTGGAAGCCACACAGATTAAGTTCAATGGATAGTTCGTATATACATGTGATGAGGAACACCCAAACTAAACTTGTGCTCTTAGGTTGGTCATTCTGAATCCCGATGCACTTCTGAAGCATCAGCTCGGCAAATTGGGCAAGTACGATTTGCCTAAAACATAAAAGAGAAAAAAACTTGTCCGAATTGTGAGTTACACAATGAAATACGTCAAAAGCAATAAACTATTTTTACCTCCCATATAGTTTTTACATTCTTTATTCCTTTAAAAAGGTACAAAGTAATCATTTAATCTTTCTTAAAAAAAAAAAAATACACCATCAACTCAGACTTAGTAGCTGATGATTTTCCTAATAGGTCTGTTTTATCACACTGACAAGATTACCTATCACCAGTTCAGATTTAATAACTAGCTTAAAACTCCATCTCAACAAATGGCACCACCATTTTTCGAGTTGCCGAAGCCAGAAACCTAAGCATTACCTGCTCTACGTTCCACATCCATCATTCATCAAATACACTCATTTCTACATTTTGACAGTTCTCGAATCAGTCCTCCTCTTTTCATCCAATTGCCAGAACCTGTTCTCTGGCTGGCCCAGGACCCATTATTTCATCTCCCCATTTCTCAGAAAGATCTCTCCCTTTCTGGTCCCCGAACAGTGGCCAGTTGTCTTTCTAAAACACAATCTCAAGCACAGCCTTCCACACTGTTTCTGGGATCAAGTCCACACTCCCTCACACTCATATGCCGGTCACTCACTGGCCATAGCTTTGAACGGCTCTTCTCTTGCCACTCTCGCTATCAGCCATACGGAATCTGTCATTTTTGGGTCAGTCTCTGTTCCCACATGACAGGGTTTCTTCTTCTGAAAAGTTAAGACCCTTTGCCTTCAGGGTTCGGTTTGGGCTAAACTGGGCACCCTTGGGGCGCCTGGGTGGCGCAGTCGGTTAAGCGTCCGACTTCAGCCAGGTCACGATCTCGCGCTCCGTGAGTTCGAGCCCCGCGTCGGGCTCTGGGCTGATGGCTCAGAGCCTGGAGCCTGTTTCCGATTCTGTGTCTCCCTCTCTCTCTGCCCCTCCCCTGTTCATGCTCTGTCTCTCTCTGTCCCAAAAATGAATAAACGTTGAAAAAAAAAATTAAAAAAAAAAAAATAAAATAAAATAAACTGGGCACCCTTAATCTGTGCACACCGAGAAAGACTGATTCTATTTTAACTTCTCTGTCTTCCTCACCAAACTGTAAACTTCTCTAACCCAGTGGTATTATCTCCTAATCAGAATGCTCAAAAAAAAAAAAAAAACCAAACCAAAACCAAAACAAACAAAAAAACAGTTGATCATTTTTAAATTATTTTACTGTATCATATTTTCATTCTACTATTATAAAATATAGGACTTGTGTCCTTTGGGTTTTTCAGATCTACAAAAGAAAAAATGATCAGAATTAAATAAAAAGCACTAGAGGTTTATTTCCCAAGTAAATCTCTCACAAAGGAGCTCCAGTGAGGTCCACCTGTAAACTCTTAAGAGAAAAATGGCCCGTCAAGTTCAGGCCTTGTCCCCACACACCATGAGAAAGGAAACACTGATGACCAAGGACAGATAACTCATTTTCAAGTTTTGCACAATCACTCCCACATTAATGACTGTAGTTAATTTTTACTGATGTTTTCTCTTCATTCACAGAAATCATTGAAAATTTTGTCCCCTTACCCACCCTCCACAAGCAATGGATTTAAAACTACAGTCAGTAAAAAAGAATTCAATGTTACTTTCTTCACAGATACCATCACTTTACCTTAAGCCATTTGTCGACACACTTGGCATGGAACTCGTGGTTACAGGGTAAAACTCTAAGTAGCTGCCTTGACTCAAAATCACACATGCATACTACACACCTAAAAAAGCAAAAAGATCATTTAACCATAAAACCAAGTGGTTTCCTATTTTGTTATGACTACTGAAGCCTAGAACACCACTTACCATCTCACTTTTCAAAATGTCATTTAAATTTTAAGATAAAGTAATCTATCAATACCCCGAAATAATCATAACCTTAAGACATTTAGTAAGAGTGCTTTGCTCTACTGAGAGATCATCACGAAAATTTTATTTTTAAAGTTTATTTTATTTAATTAAACAAATATTTTTAATGTTTATTTATTTTGAGAGAGGGATAAGAGAACGAGCAGGGGAAGGGTAGAGAGGGAATCCTAAGCAAGCTCCGCGATGTTAGCACGGAGTCCAATGCAAGACTTGTACCCATGAGCCGTGAGATCATGACCCAAGCTGAAATGAAGAGTTGGGCGCTTAACTGACTGAGCTACCCAGGCACTCCCAAACTGTACACTTTAAATGTGAATTATATCTCCATAAAGTTGTTATTAAAGATACTATAATAAGCAGAATGTTTAGGTAAAAACCTCAATCTTTACATGTATGAGACTCTTCAATCTTACATAAACTATTCTAGGGGTGCCTGTGTGGCTCAGTTGGTTAAGCATCTGACTTCAGCTCAGGTCGTGATCTCATGATTTGTGGGTTTGAGCCCCACGTCAGGCTCTGTGCTGACAGCTCAGATTCTGTGTCTCCTCCTCTCTCTCTGTCTCAAAAATAAACATTAAAAAAATAAAAGTGGAGTGCCTGGTGGCTCAGTTGGTTAAGCATCCGACTTTGGCTCAGATCATGATCTCAGGGTTCATGAGTTCAAGCCCCACATCGGGCTTTGTGCTGACAGCTCAGAGCCTGGAGCCTGCTTCGGATTCTGTGCATCTTCCTCTCTCTCTGCCCATCTCGTTTGCACTCTCTCTCTCAAGAAAAAAAATAAACATTAAAAAAAATTTTTTTAATAATAAAATAATCAAAAACAATTTCTAGGCAACCTCAAAATACAGAACAGCACTGTCCAACAAAACTTTCTGAGACAGAAATGTTGAACATCTTCCAACACAGTATCACTAGCTAGTCCAATAAACTTAACTTTAAAATTTTAAACAGCCACACAAGACTAGTGGCTACCATACGGAACAGGCCTAGGGTATGCAATAGAGACTATTTATCAAGTTATCTTTGACTTTCAAGTGTTTATTTTACAAAGGTAAAAAAGGAAATTTCACATAGAGTGATGTCGGGAAAATGTACTTACAAAGTCTGCTCTGACTGGTGGTTATTAGGATTGAACCGATAAGAAGGAAGCTGTTCGATATCTGCTTTAGTCAGTCCTCGAGGCTTAGCCTCTCCCAGTCGCTCTGCCAGGTTTAAGAGGGCCTAGAAAGGGGGCAAAAGGAGTAAAAATTTTAATCTCTAAGTTTTCTATTTCAATAATCGAAAACCCCTACAACAAACAAAAAACCGCAACCCTATCATTAATATGGAAAATTTTTAATACATACACTAGTAGAAAACAGCATAATGAACTTCCACATGCCAATTACCCAGGCTCAACAATTCATGGCTAATTTCACCTAGTACTGTCCACTCCTAAATCCCAGATTATTTTGAAACAAAAGTAAAATATTGTATTTCATTGATAAAATAGTTCTGTGTATATCTTTAAAACAATCTGTCAACTTCAGCCCTTCTGACATTTTGAGCTGGACAAAATTTCATTGGGGGGGGGGGCTGTCCTTGTGTATTGTGGGATATTTAGCAGTAGCCCCCAGCCTCCAGCTGCTGGATGCTAGTAACCGCACACCAATACTGTCTCCAGATGTTGCTAAATACCCTGGGGGCCGGGGTGGAGTAAAACTGTCCTCAAGTTGAGACTCACCATTTTAAAAAGTAAAAGAAGTTTTAAAAGAATATAACCACAGTAACATCACACCTAAAAAATTAACAATTCCTTAAATGTTAAACATCTCTCATTGTTTCAATTATTTCCGAAAACACTTTTAAAAATAGTTGTTCAAATCAGGATCCAAATCAATCCATACCTTACCACTGTTTGACAGGTCTCTAGTATCTTTTCAGATACTGTTTGTTCTGTTGAACAAACCGGGTCAACGGCTTGTACAAATTCACAGTCTGATTTTTGCTGACTGAACCTACCTACCTGAGATTTGTGTTTTCCTGTCCCCTGTACTTCCTATAAATTGGTGGCTTCAACTATTCCCATTAGGCTCATCATGCCTAGGACCATTAATCCATTAAAGATGGCAAAATGGTAATATTCTATCATTTTCTTAATTTATTAGATGAAATATTACTAATATTGAGCAACTGCCCCATATGAAACTGTACTCAGTAGCATAATTTAAATAGAAAAGGGTAGGCCAATGAGTTTTTTTCTTTTATTTTTTGAAGTTATCACTAAGAACTCATGGATTTTAAGACAGTTGTTATGTTTCAATATATGGCTGCTATTACACTTACTGATTTTACAACAGTACCTCCTTTCTCCCAGTTTTCATTGGTTCTAATTACTCATTTTGCTTTATTCTACAATTTTCCAGTCTTTCGTATGCTGCTTTCCCCTCTTTTTTAGGCTACCACAGGGTGAAGAGAATGTATAACAATGAAATGATGATGGACAATGAGAGGAATAGAATCAACTTCCCAAAATCTCAATAATTAATGCTGTGATAGTTGAAGCCACAATGCTGTTTTCGGTACAGCTTTATTTGGAGAATTGGGTCATCTAAATAAATTGCTCCTCCTTCACCATGCATGCCCCTAAGTCCCTTTAAAATGTTAGATAGCAAATTGTTAAATTTAATTGATGCTGATTACAATTAGCACATAAAATTTAGAATATAGCTGGTATTAACTGTTTTATACTACAGGACACTTGGGTCAATGAAAACAACTTAAGACAACTATATTCAATAAAGTATGATCATTAAGCCCTTACTGGGTGGAGGCTATGATAATCAAATCTTCAATGAATTTATATGATCTAGCAAGCAAGACACCTGAAGGCAGAACATGACAAGTCTGCATGGTTTTCTTTTTTTTTTTTTTTTTTTAAGTTTACTTACTTTTTTAGGAGAGAGGGAGACGGAGAGGGAGAGACAAAGGGAGGGAGGGAAGGAGAGAGGGAGCACATGCACACATAAGTGGGGGAAGGGCAGAGAGGGAGAATCCCAAGGAGGTTCCACACTGTCAGTGCAGAGCCAAGGCGGGACTCAAACTCTTGAACCATGAGATCATGAACTGAGCTGAAGTTGGACACTTAACTGACTGAGCCACCCAGGCGCCCCAGTATGCATGGTTTCGTAAGAACTTTAAGAACAAAAAGGAGGGAGAAACTCATTTGGATCTGGAAATGAACTAGAAATGCCTTTCATAGACGTAGTATTTTTAGCTGGGTCTTAAAAGATGGCTAAGTTTCAAAATGTGGAGGAGGAGGAAAGTTCTTAGGCAGAAGGACAGGGAGTAAAGGCACTTAGGCAAGAATGCAAAAGTATTTTTTTATTTGGCACTGGAATACCTTTCTAAACTGGATTTTAGGTCAAAACAAGAAAAGCAAAAAATTATTGACTGGATTAAAGTATGACTGCAGAAGATCAAACATATTTAACCTAAAATATAGTTTAGAAAGGTAATGCCAAATAAAAGTATTTTTCTTACACTGGGATAGTATATCACGGTTTTTTTCATTAATGGGTACATGATCATTTAATCAAGAGCTATCTTTTTTGGCGACATGACTTATGACTTCCTTTTAGTACAGAATGCCTAAAGGACAACTAACTCCTTTGCAGAAAATTAAAGTCATCAGTGTAGAAACAAAACCAGAAAATCTTTACAGCCCCTTTCTCTCTCTAGAAATCTGGAAATGGAGGGGTACCTGGGTGGCTCAGTCAATTAAGCATCTGACTTTGGCTCAGGTCATGATCCCACAGTTCCTGGGTTTGACCCCTGCATCAGGCTCTCTGCTGTCAACGCAGAGCCTGCTTGGGATTCTCTCTCTATACCCCCTACTCCCTCCCTCTCTCTCTCAAAAGTAAATAAAATATTAAAAAAATTAAATGGAAATGAAATCCAAAGGTCAGGGCAGTGTGACTATGTATATAGAAAGAAAATGACACAATACCATTTTGAAAACTATAAAAGAATATACCATCTGGCCTGATCTCTTTCACATGTGTTAAAAACAAAACAAAAACCAAAAAAAACCCCCAAACTAAAGGTGTTTTAAGATTGTGTATGTGTGTGTATGTATGTGTCTCTTACCTGTCTCTAGCTTCTATTCACAGTGTCCAAATAGAGACTGAGTGAGGATGGAGTGAGAAAGAGAACTGGCAGTATCAAAACAAAGTGACACTGTCGCTCACATTCAACAATACAAAGCTGCCTTCCAACCCCTAAACTGCACCTCCTCTTCCTAACCTCCAATAATATGAGGCACCTGGGCGGCACCTTCCTCCCGCAATATTCACTTTAGTCACCAACTGTATGTTGTTCCTCAAGAATATCCAGCACTTTCCTACCTCAATCTCACGCATAAAGCAGCCTTCCCATCCTTCAGGAGCCAGGTTAAACAACTGTGCTTCCACAAAATCTTTTCAGAATATCCGATCATAATTCACTGCTTTCTCATGTACATTCTCTCAAAGGAATTATATATAATTCTAATACAGGTCCAAAGTCTATCTCATTATCACAGCTGTGTGGTACATGTAGAAATATCCTTAAGGATGCTAACCACTTTTTGATATATTTGTATTGTGAAATGTACAACGATTTATCTAATACATGTTTAATTAGATGAGTAAAAAATACTTCTTTTGCGTATAATACTATGCAAACAAACTCACAGTTCACCTACTAACCTCATAATTTTCTACTTCTCCATCTTCCACATCCAATTCAAAGCTGAAAGTTGGGCCCACTGCAGGTGGCACTGGAAGCATTGATCTGCAGTGAAATAATCAAAACTAGCATTGATACACTGGTACATCACTTCAATGAACAGGTGGGAAGAAAAAGGCTAATGCTACAGGGATAAAGAACGGTCAGTGTTAATCAGTGGCAATTTTAACGAAATGGACTTTGCTAGCAATAAATAAAAACTGACATTTTAAAAATACCATTCAGAATAGCATAAAAAATATGAAATATTAGGGATTAGTTTAATAAAACAGGTACAAGACCTATACAATTAAAAACTAAACACTGCTGGGAAAAAAGTTTTTTAAATGAACAAATAAAGAAATATGCTGTTGAGTGGACTAGAAGATGTCAACTCTCTTCCAAAACTGATTTACAGATTTCATGCAGTCCCTACACCAAAATCCCAGCAAGATATGCTTTAGTAGAAAGCTAGCTGATTTCAAACTTTATATGGATCATTCAAGACTTTAAATCATTTTAAGAACCAAGTTCTGATACTGTCTGATTTTAAGACTTATAATAAAGCTATAATTATCAAAATAGTGTGATATTGGCGCATGGCCCTCTGTACAAAACAACATTTCCTACCCTTCTTAGAAATTAATTATAGGCACAAGACTAAATTCTAGCCAATGGGATGTAGGCAGGAGTACAAGACATGCAACTTCTAGGAAGTAGCCTTGAGAGGTGGGCAGAGAGATAGATCCATTTTCATTTTTACTAGCTGGAGTATAGATGTAATGGCTAGAACTTGAGGAACCATCTTTAATCACATAGAGAAAGCCATAAAATTTTGAAGATGGTAGAACCATTCCTCAGTTATGGGGTAACAAACAATCCCTGAATTGCCTACTTGTGAACTTCATTCCATGAGAGAGAAAAAAAGAACTATCACGTTTAACCCACGGGTGTATGTTACAAATGTAATCCTAACAATATTTCTAAGGCACAGATAACTTTTCTTTCTTCCCTTGAGAAAAGCAGCAGCATCGAAAGCTGGATAATCAAAGGTGACAAGTGATGACAGCTGCGTAAGAGGCAAAAACTGTCAATTTTTCTACCTTTTGATTTGTTAAACCTATTTTCTGGCTCACAAATTTCTTCCTCTCCCACTTCTCCCTTGTCCTTGGCTCTTCTCTTTGTTCACCTTTAAATGGTCCCCCACCCCAACCACTCAACATTAAATAAAAACTAGTATCTGGGGTGCCTGGGTGGCTCAGTTGGTTAAGCGTCCGAGTTCAGCTCAGGTCATGATCTCGCAGTTCATGAGTTCGAGC